TATTTTTAAGGGAGATGCTAGAATCGAACAGAGCAGACACTCCATAAGAAGCTCCTCGCCCCTGAAGGCCACCCTTAATTCACTTAAGAACATGGAGCCCTAGGGACATCACGTGGTTTGACCAAAGTCAATAAGCAGGACACGAACCAAGGTTCCCTGAATTCACTATCACTTGTTTGACATGCTGAGTGCTTGCTCGTGAGCCTTTTGTGGCCTGAAAGACAAGCAAAGTGAGGTACCATGTGCACCTCAGCAGTGAAAGTGCACGGGTGAGCTGCAGAGAGGGTGAAGGTTGTGGACAGTGGGTGATTCACAGTGTTACTCCGAGGAAAGTATAGCAAATCCTGACTTCACGTCACCCAGAGGACCTCGGAAAAGGCGGCTTTAAGTGACACGAACTAGAGTGAAACCAATACAACTGGAGGCTAATTGAGATAAATAAGAGTTACGTTCTTATATATCTCTCAGGTCATAAAAACAGCACCAAATTTCTAAATGAAGACCCAAAAGGCTTCTAATTCTGGGCAAACATTTCTGTTCACTCATTCATTCATTCATTATTTCGCAACTCAGTTCCTCCAGTTCAGGTCACAGGTGGCCAGAGACTATGTTGGCAGCTCAGGGTGCAAGATAAGCTCCCTGAGCACGTCACCCCCACCCACACTCACGCAATCTGGGGGAGCAGACGCACCAGTGAGTATCATATCCCTGGGATGCAGAAAGAAACCGGATCCCCAGAGAAAACCCACCAGACCTGGGAGCACATGCCCACTCCACACAGTGGCCGCTGCCCATTTTTTCTCGTCAACACACAATAAAACCCCATTCAACAAAACAACATCCAAGGACCTGCTGTACACACAAGAAGCCAACCTAGAACTCAGGAGACAGGCTTTCTCCAAAGCAAGCCATCTACCTAACATCAGAATCAGCTTCAGGAGGTTGGCAAGGCAAGAGCCCCTGGGCACTCGGGAACCAGGAGTACATTGAAGCGTCTTGCAGGATTTCTCTGCATTTCTCTAGACTGCCCAGTGGGTTGTGAGAAGTTAATGGAAATAAAAATCTGTTAGGTGTGTTATGGAATTTATTTTAATTCCACTGCTGCATACTCCAGACAAAGATTTGATAATTAGTGACCAGATAGTGGTGCCATGTAGAAAAGGCAGGCAGAGGGAGGGCCAGGAAGGCCAGTCAGGTTTGTGTGACTCATATCGGTCCTTCCTGGAAAGGGCCAGGACCTGTGTTCTGACCCCAGAATGGGCTGAAAGTGGCTAAGGGGCAAGCTCCAGGCCTCTCCGGGTCATGGGAGCCTAATACAGTGCCTGGCATGCAGACAGGAAAAATGCAGGTGGGGCCGCAGGGGAGGGCTCAGAGCAGAGCTGGGGGAGGTGGTCAGAGGTGCCCAAGGTTAAGGCAGCAGCGGGCAGGCCTAGTAAGGCCCTAGGGCAGACAGGATGGTTTGTAGCCGCTTTTGGTAGAGGGCACGTAAGACTGACGACAACAGGGATGCCCTGTGGATGAAATCTAAGGGGCCAGAGGAAGGTCAGACTGGGGGCCAGGAATGTCTATGATTTTTAGGAATCTCTGGCGCATTAGGATAATTCACCTGAGGGTGATGTCTACTTAAAGTCATCTAATTTGGAATGTGTATGCTGCGGTGGGGACAGGGAGTTTGGAAAAGGGATGCATAAAATGCTTTACCTTAGGAAATAAGAGCTGTTATTAACTGATTAAAATTAAGTATATTTCAAACACATAGAGCCATAGAGACACAGAGTGACAGACTGCTGGAGACCCCTGTCAGCTGGCCCCTCCTGCAGTCACACTCACCTGCCCGCGGTCACCTTTAAACAATGGTTTGTCACTTTCTGGCTTTCTGCTAGGTTTTCATTGTGCAAGGACTGAAGTGCTCTCTAGTCCCTGGAACTGCTAACAGACTGAAATGGTCTCGAGCAGCCTAAATAGCATTTAGAATATTGTGAATTGATGAAATGACCAATTATGTTAAGTACCCATGCCTGATGTAATCCAAACCCAATCTTACCCCATTATCCTGAAAACTGAGAGGTGATTCATCGGGAACCAAAATACAGAGGCCACACTCAAGTCGGACCTCAAGGACTTCCAGTTAATTCTGGCAATTGGCTCATTGTTAGAAAAAGTTGTACAACATTTCTGTCCAAGGGTTTACACATCAGCTATTGGGCCACACGCAGGTCCCATTGTAACCATCAGGTCATGTGATCCCTCGTTTCAGGTTTTAACTTCCATTGCTTCCTCTTTGGACATGACAACATTCTTCTCATTCAGGGGCACTTGGGGATGACACCACTGGCTTACCTTGAAGCCAGCGATGTCATCATCCCCAAGTGCCCCCAAATGGCCTGTGTTCTGCACTACCACATTCATCTGTGCTCCCCATTCCTGCCCCCCAAGCCTACATGCCCCTGTTGCTTCTGCTTGCAATGCTCCTTCCTCTCATTTATGCATGCCCACATCTATCTATTTTTCAAGGCTTCGCTCAATTCCCAATCCTCCCAAGATGTGACAGCCCCTAGGCTCCCAGCTTCCTGAGGAAAATAAGTCTCTTTTCTGGAAAAACATTCAGCACATTTGCTTATGCTGCTGCTCCTGCATTCTTCAGGTCGCAGTCCCCAGGGTCACCACACAGCAGGTTGGCCCCAAGCCCGGCTTGGAACGCCAGGGTCAGGGGCATGTTGGGCTTCTGTGGGCCAGTTCCTGAGCCTGTGTCATCGGGCACGACCAAGCATCACTTTCTACACACTTCTAAGAACTGAGTTCTTTAGGGACAGGCATCCTGTTCCCCCCCTCAATGCCAATCTTTGTGGCTGGAACCTAATACCTGAGAAGTTCCTTGGTCTGATCACCTAGAAAAATGCATGTGATGGGAAAAAAGAAAGTGTGCAAATTTTGAAACTGTAAAGGATAAAGAGAACAAAAGTGGACATCAATCAGGTATATTCTCTTCTACTTGAAAATAATCTAAACCTCCTACTGGCATGACCAGGGAGCTGCCTTCTTTAGAGACCCAGTCTTTATTACAAAACTTCTGCTTGTGGGCACGAGCCACTTCATGATGTGCCAATAACACCCACCCAAGGGACACAAAAACATTAATTAGGAAGCAACATACATAGTTGGAAAAATCTTATCACAACAAAATGTCTCATGAACTCTACGTACAGGTACAACAAGTGAGGAAACATCACAGAAAAAGACTGTCGACAAGTCTCTACCCACACGCTCGAGTTCTCACCAACTTTCTTCTGATTTCCAATGTACCAAAAATAAATGGGCAGTATTGAATTGCATGCGGATTCAAGGAGCATCTGAAATTGTAATTCTCAATGCCTAGAGTGATCAGGAAAAATTTTAACCCTATCAGGAAGAGAAAAAAGGTCGACCACTCAGGAGACAGAAACTTATCATGAAATCATTCAACTTTAGAAATGTAATCGATATTTCTCTCACGCTTCCCGCCTCATAGATTAAAAAACCCACAACTTATATTCAGGTTAGAACAAGTCTTAAATAATGTAGAACTTAATGAACAAAAATCCAGTAAGAAAATGCTCTAAGAAAAGGAAAAACTAAAGATTTTTTGAAAAACTAAAAAGATATATATAAACATGAATATCACAGATCAAGAAGTAAAGATGCACATAACTTTGAAATTCACTTGAAAAATAAAAACCAATAAGCTCATCATAATCAGTTTCCACATAGACTATCTGAAGGGAGAACAAGACAGATTTTTTTTAAATTATGTATTAAATTTTAGGAGTGGATGGAGTTCCCTTTTTTCTTAAATATTAGGCTATCTATGATGGTCATTAAAATTAGGATTAACCCAAACTTGCCTGCTGAAATTGTACCTGTATCAAGCAAAAATACAAAGAAAAGTTTAAGCTCCCAATTTCCAATGCAATTAAAGAGACACCACGCAATTGCAGGATGTGATGACACCTGTTACAATTGCTTCAGCTACTCTGGAAATACAAAGATGGGTGTCTTTAGCCTTAGCCACACTGATAGTCAATGCCTGGTCCTCAGCGTATACTTTCAAGGACAGGAGGCTTAACAGCTTTGAACCAAGCAAAATGTAGGAAAGCTCCTCACCATCAGCCCTGCACAGTTCTAGAGCTCTTGGTACAACCACTTCCATCTACTCTGGGCCATTGGGCTGCTCTGACACCTGGCAGTCACCAGGTTGATGGGGACAGGAAGTGGGAAAATCTTAGGAGCCAGCCCTTTTCATCTTATCTACAGAGCAGACAGCCCAAACAGCAATCACCCCAAAGTGATTTCTTAGAGCATTTGGAATGCATCTTACTCTTCTTTTTAACCATCTATTTGCCTTTAACTTTGGTCATTAATACATTTAATGGCAAAACAGAGATGAAAAACACTTTGAATTCTTGAGTGCCTCAGAACAGCCCTGGTGCAAAGCAGCAGAGGAAGGGCGCCCCTCTTCCAGTGGCGCTTGCAGGGACGAAGGAGGGGACTGAACAACGAGACCTGGAGCAAACCACGGTCACGCCCAGGTACACATGGATATTAGGGGAAACAAGGAACGGGTGGTGTCCACGATGGCCAAAAGGCCAGAACACCCAAATCGTACCTCGTTAGTCCAGGCATTAGCAACCCACAGAGGGGTGTTTCTATGAGCCGTCTATGCTACTGTCGCACGTCTACAGCCCCGCAATTCCAACTTCACCAAAGCAAACCAAACACTTCTGCAACGTGACCAGTGATGCCAGACCAAAGCAGCAGCCCTGGCTTTAGACTAACAATTCATAGCAATCCGGAGAATTGAGTAGAAAGAAATAAAGAGAACTGGACAAACACCCAACCCACAAGAGCCACACTTCTCCAATGAGTGCCCACTCCCAGACAGGACAGAACTTTCCTGATTGCGCCCAAGCACCGAGAAGGGTCACCAGGGGGCAGGAGGAGAAGAGGTGCTGCTGAAGACCTACCTTGTAGAAGGGCTCCATTTCTCTTGAAGAAGGTACTGCCCGGCCAGATGGGTGGACCTGATGTGCTGAAAGAGAAAAGAAGCAGCATTAAGAGCAGGTCATGGCCACTCACTCGCCGGAACTCAGAGCAACCTCTTCTCAGGCACAGGGTCCAAGTGGCCTCGAACACTTTCCCAATGATGCATTATTTACACCCTCTGAAAATGCATCTTTAAAAACCATTAGGATTGCTTTATGATCGATGGGCTTCCTATTGCACGGCGGAACTGTCTGTGTGGGGCTCCTGGTTCCGGTCTGGCCCACGCTCTCTGCCGGGCACTGCAATCATTTGTACATAATCAAAACAGCAAATTCACATGGGTCAACACCATAGATTATGACTTAAAAACAGCTGCTATCTTGCTCATCATTTTATGAATTTACATGAGGAAGAATTCCTATCCATGTTTTCTGAGATCAAGTGGGTTTTCTGACAATTCCTGGTGCCACCTGGATGTTACAAATGTAAACGTGGCTTTTTCCCCTCACTGGGTCCTTCCTATACACAGATGACCTCTATCCACTCCTTCCCTCCCATCCTCATTTCCTATCCTGTTTTCAATTTTTTCACTTCAAATGTTACATCCCATACACCATGAAACACTTTGCAGATACATCCACCCACAGCCTAGTAATAGGAGCAGCAAGAAAATGAGCAGGATCAATATGTCACAAAGACACAACTACATTTATAGACAAGCATTTTCACTGTTTTAAGGCACCAAGTGACAAACTTTATAACCCTGACAGTCTCAGTAAAATATCCTTAGGATGGAAAGTAGGTTATTCTAAGTCAGCAGTTGGTTTAGAGTACCGTTAGCACTTACTCAGAAACGTTACTACAGCCAGATCAGGAGGTGGTATAAATTACTCTTGCCAAAAGAGCGCACAGCAAATGATACTGGTTAATGCATTATCACCTTCAACAGTAAAATAATTAAAATTTGTTCTGAATAATGCATTTGAAGTTTGGGTCTCCCTGGTGGCACAGGCATTAAAGTCTCAGCACTATCAAGCTATTGTCAGCCACTGTAGCCTGAGTTTGATCCCCAGCCAGGGAGCTACCCACATGGTGCAGCAGACCTCTCTTGTCTTGTCCCCTGCTCCCCTCAGCAGTGTTTTTCAGTCAGTCTGCCTGTTCTGTTCCCTGCTCTGTCTCTGGTGAATCCTCTCACCCCCCACCCACCCCCACACCTCTGGCCTCTACCCCCAGCTCTTGTATGTATATATAAATAAAATAAATCTTTCCCAAAAACACATTTGAAGTTCAAGAGCCATGCATGCACACACAGGCACACAGAGAATCAGAAGGGTGATATGACGATGGCCCCGCCAGCCAGCAGGGCCTCTACTGACAGGGGTAGCAACGCTGTTAACAGGAGTAATACCAGCGACACATCCTGCTGACTGAAAGCTCATTACCAGAGGCTCAAATAGCACTGCAGTGCAGGGCCACGTGACAAGATGGGGCAGGAGCAGAGAGGGAGGAAGCAGAGAACCACAGCAGCAAAATACTAATAAACCTCCAAATATTATCCATTGTGTTCAAAATGATAAACCTTGATGTAAATGAATGAACCTTTTCTGTTTTACCTTGTTTGGAGGAGCTGGACCCAGAGTTAAGTGTGAACAGTGCCGCTCAGTGACGGCTCTCCCTGCAGCAAAGCCTCCCAGTGCTGGCAGCTGTGGCTGCACGGCCAGGGGTGGCCCAGAAGGCACTAGATCTGGCCAGGCTCTCAGGGAGCTGGCAGCAAGCTGATGTCTCTTCCATGCAATTCCTATGCTATTACGTTTCAGGGGTTTCGTGGCTCAAAGTTGCGTGAAGAATAATGTGTATTAAAATGCTTAAGATTATCTTTTAACATCCCCAGCCAGCTGCTGGGATTTTACCATCTTATTTTTGTAAGGAAGGAGGAAGCAGCAAGCTGGTGGTTGCCAGGACCCAATCACCTGATTTCTAAAGATGTTTAAAAACTGAGGACTTTATTAAAGAGGAGTTGGTGCTTCTAGAGGATTCGATAATTGAGTATTACTGCAGGAGCCTAAATATCCAGCTTATTTCCATCCAAATCTCCTTTTTATCCTGACCTTGATTTGGGTGAAAACTGAGTAGATACCAGGGATGGAGTAAATGTGGAGAACTGAGGTTGGGTAAATCCAGTGGTTTAGAGAAGGAAAATTCTCTGTGTGACAGAAACCTACTTAGTGGTTTCTATAGCACCCATTTAATGTACCTAAGTCACTGGTCACTGTTCTGGCCATATGGCTGAGTGGTCATGTGCTCAGCTGGACTGGCCCAGCCACTTTCTCTGACCCGGCCCAGCTGTCAATGATGTGGTCTCTCTAGCCCAAGGCAAGATGGTGCCTGTCATGCTCATTACAAAGCTTCTGAGCTCACGAGCCCTATATTCTCCACTCTTATTTTGGATGGCCCCTCAAAATGACATCTTCTGTCTCAGAATATTCAAGTATTTTGCTAAGTGCCTATGAGACTGGTGCCGAGAAGGACATGGGAGGAGGCATTGAAAGTCCTATTTTATGACCTCAAGGAACATACCTAGCCCCAAACATCTATGATTTCACCTAAAAAGATAAGAAATGCTGATAGAAAGGTCAAGGGTTATTATGGCATCAAACTAATTGTTTTTCCATCTGGAGATGTCCTTGGCTTAGTGGCCTTTAAAGTGCAATGAAACTAAAAGTGTCTATTAACCCCAGTCATTTGGAGAAGCCAGTGATGCAAATCTTTGTAGAGGACTGAGACCACCTTGGAGACCATTCACTAATGGGGCCAATCAAGGAGAGGTGCGGTGGCATTTTCAGGGAAACAGGGACTTGACACCATTTAAATGCCAGTGACTTGTGGGTGGTCACTGCCACGAGAGATGGCCATTAAGGCCCATTTAACCTAACAGGTGGGTTTTAATCACCATATAGTGATGCTCACATCGCTGGACCCTAGGAGAGCAAACTACCACTTACAGAGCACGGCGGTCAGCACCTTCTGTGTGCACCCCGCTTCTGTGGGCTGAGCAGAGCAGAAGCCGTTGTCCACATTCTCCAGGTGAGGAGATGGAGGCCCTTGGAGGTGAAGGAGTGACTTAAGACTTCCCATGGCTTGTTAGGGTTCAGCTAAGGCCCAGCCAGGGCTTCTAGTGCCAGCCCAGGGGGCCGGAGACACGTACACACCAACAGGCCAATTTCAGTTCTCATCTTCCATCTTTCTGGCAGTAAACTCGTAGCTACCCTTCTCCACAGAAATAGGCTGTAGATAGTAATTCACTAAGAATCTCTCCCAGGCCAAATCCAAGGCTAGAAAAAGCAACCAGGATAAGATAGACCCAAGGGCTCCCGTCAACAGGAACAACACAACTGAGGCACCAGGAGAAACCCACCTCAGTAACACCCTAACACAATTCTAAGACATTCAACACAATGAGCCAGACCCTCGTTGTGACAAAGGAAGCCAACCAACAAATCCAGGGGTCTTGCCTGCCAGAAAGGCAGCTTATGGAACTGGCTGTTTGGGACACTGATTCAGCTGATCTTGAAGACCAGAGCTGAGCCAGCAAATCCCAGCAGGTAAGTGAGCATGGGGTCCTGAAGCATATCAGTCCCAGGCCTCAGCCACTTCCTGGACCTCGCTCTCCAGCTGTACTACTCTGCATTCCCAGAGGATATTGGCAGTGAACAAGTTGTGCAGCCCTAAGGTGACTCTGGGTAAGATGTGATCAGTCACGTGTTCTCTCTATACTATGAACTGACATCATTGTGAGAATGGTTTGGATGATAACCCAGACCCTGAGGGGTTCTGGCAAAACCCATAACTACCCTCTAGCATGGACTTTCTCAAAGTCTAATGAAACGCAAGTTAAGAAAAGCACTTTTTAATAACAACCCAGTGGCCAAATCTGAGCTGACATTTGAGAGTACAGGGTATGAACCTGAGAGAACAGGGTATGAACCTCGAGCAACCTATATTAAGTGAAATAAGTCAGACACGAAAGCAAACACTGTGATTTCCTTGCACGAGGAACCACAGCAGTCAAAGTCAGAGAGACAGGAGATAGAATGTGAGTTGCCCGGGCAGAAGCAATTGTGTTGCGGCAAGGTGCAGAGAGTTTGGATACTGGCTGCACCACAAAGAGAATGTAATTTTGTACCACAATTAATAGATTTAATGTAAAGGGGTGGGGGGGGGTAGGGAAGGTGAGGGAGACAGGAATATATAAGGGACTCCAGAAGAAGTGAACCACAGCCTAAGGGATTGGGGCAGTAAAGACCAACCTATGTGCAGTGTCTCTGACTGACCCCACCAGTACCATCTCAGCCAGAATGGCCCATGGCATAGTAAAAAGCAGAAAGTTCAAACTCACTAGGGGAAAGGAAGGGGAGGTAGAACAGACTATCCTGAGACAGTGCTCAGAGGCCAGAGCTTGCCTGCTACTCTGAGCAACTGAGCAGATTCCAGTCACATTCTTAGCACTGGAAACAGGGTGTGAAGGCAATGTCTTTGGATGTATGACGTCTGCTCCCAGGAATGGGAGGGCCAAAGCAGTCGTAACAAAGGGGGAATCCCTGGAAACATACTTGGAGTTCTACTGTTTTAATTCTAATGGTGGATTAGTCACCAGAAAGTAACAGAAACACAAATAAGATTGATGTCACACACTAACACAGACCCCTGGGGTGAAAGGTGCCAGTTGCTGAGGGTGGAATGTCCTGATTCAGAGGAGTCAGGACAGAGAATGTGTGTGAAAAGGTCTTAAGTTCACAAAGTACCCTCTACAATTTGAAAAACACTCCTAACGAGGACATTGAAGGTTCAGAATTCTTAATACTTAAATATTCCTCCAAATAATAAAACAAAACTCAGGTGCACTGGCATTCAAGGAGCTCGCAGAGATTACCTGGACCTAAGGCGTGGTGGGGAGAACTCTAAGCCTGGGGACAGGGAATTTGTACAAAGCCCAGGTTGTAGGTCGTTGAATCTGTCCATGCCTTTGTTCCCTGCCTGCTAACTGGG